GCAACTCCCTGCCAGGAGGGGGCAGAGAGGGGGGATGAGTCTCTGGAGCCAAGGCCCCAGCGCCAGGCCCCGAGGGAATGGCCTCAAGCTGCCCAGGGCAGGGTCAGGCTGGCTCTGAGGAAGGATTTCTGTGCAGAAGGGGCTGTTGGGCGTTGGAATGGGCTGCCCAGGGCAGGGGGGAGTCCCCCGGATCCCTGGGGGGGTTGAAGAGTCGAGCTGAGCCAGCGCTGAGGGATTTGGTGGGGTTGGGAACGGTCAGAGTGAGGTTCATGGTTGGGCTGGAGGAGCTGCAAGGGCTTTTCCACCCCAGACGGTTCTGTGAGTGCAGTACTTGTTCAGTCATGCCCCTGTTCTCTGCCGGTGAACACGTCCTACTCGCTGTTCTCACACTGGTTGTATTCTGGACCCTGGACACGAAAGGGCTGGGCTGGAGGAAGCAAGTGTTGCCCCATTACAAACCATCTGCTTCTCATCCATGAACGTAGACATCCCTCTGCTCCTGTCCCATCCTTCTGCCCCACTGCCCAGCGACCTGCTCAGAGAAAACAAAGACAATGGTCTGGAAACACTCCGGGTCTGGTTCCCAGGAATCACAGACGCGTGTTCAGAGCCCCTTCGCTAGGGCTGGTGGGTACATGGAGACGATTTCCTTCCATTACTCACTTCCCAAGGAAATCTTTTCACAGAAGCGTTGCTCATCTTAGAATAATTCCCTTTTTTGTCAGTTTATCAATGTGAATGCCATTCAGCCTCACACCCTGCAGCCTGGAGAGATTTCAGCCTTTATCTCCCAAATCCTGCTGGGATAGGTGGAAGCAGGAAAAAACAGCCTGGAAAATAATTAGATCTTACACAATTTTGTTTTATTTTTAAACTTGACTGTAATCGACAGATCCTGTTTCCAGTAAGACTGATGCATGCACATGCTGATTCTTTCCCTGTCGCATCCTGCACGCCGAAGCCAGCAGTATCACTCCAGATTTGCTTCTGGTTAAACGTGATCAGGATCTGGCTGTGGATCTCAGCTCTCCATCTCTGCTCAGCTCATGTTCTCCATCTGTCATTGGCTCGACTAAAATTCGCTCAAGATGATCAACTTCTCACCAGGTTACGGGACAGCTCAGGAACAGTTAATGATTGTAAAAAAAAACTCCCACACCCCCAAAAAACTAAAAAAAACCCCACCAAACCACCACCAAGCGATCGACTGTATTTGGATTGTGGTGTCACCGCGACTCGGACATGTACACACATACGCTGTGCACAGGCCCGCGGTGTTCTCCCTGTGGGAAGGCTTTGGTGGCGTGCTGCAGCTTCTGTGACATTCTGGGCATGTAAACAATACGCAATTTCTGAAGAGATGCAATATCCTCTCTAAGACAAATTACTGTAGCTGGAACAAACAAGCTTTTGGGAACACAGCCTTATTTCAGCTCTACATAAAAGTGTTTGTTTGGAGGGTCTAGCTATATATGGGAATTTGGAAATTCCCCATTTGGAAAGGAAGTGAAGCAGCTCTGCAGCACTCGAAGAACGCTGCGGATCGAAGCTTCCCCTTGAACTCTAGGGCTGGTTTGTGCAGCCCAGCGTGGGGTGGGGGCGCTTACCCGAGGTGCCCCCAGTGCAACTTGACCTGCAGGCACCAGGGCCTTGGGCTGGGAGGTGGGAGCTCTGCCAGCTCACGCCCAGACGCCGGCCCCGCTCTGACGCAGAGGATGCGGATAGAGACTGAATCCCCAGCACCATGCTCCGCCAGCTCCAGGTTTTCCCCCAAACACTGACCACGCACGGTTCACCTCACTGCCCCGCTATGTCACCCTTAACTTTTAAACAGCTACAGGCGGCGTGAACCGGAGGGCATGAACTTGAACTCCACTGCCTCCAGAAATGCCATTCTGACTTACAGCAGCGAGGATCAGGCCCTGTGCTGCCCGTTCTCAGTTAACAGTGTGTCATGCAGTCTCCAGCCTCAAGTCAGCTCTTATTTTTGTTTGACTTGGAAGACAAACTACAAAAATAGACGTGTTTACTCCCTGCATTCACCAGCTTTATTTTTTTCTCAAAAGTGGCTCAGTGACTAGGAATGACTTCACAGTGAGGTAAGGTCTAGCTTATAGATGATCCCTTTCACCCCAAAGCATCCTAAAAAGTCACCCAGCACAAAAATACAGCCACTTTCCGTGTGAAGTGCAGTAGCTTTGCAACTACTTGTAGCAGGATTACACTAAAGCTTAGGATACTTGAAAAAATTTGCTGGACAGATCTACTCAGCCACTCAAATTAGAGTGGTGTTGGTATACTGGGAATGGCTGCTTCCCATCCTAGTGTCAGGGTTATCAGGACCCTCTTAAAAATAGCCTGGTAACATCTGGCAATAAGAAAATATTTCTTCAGAACCAGTGCCATGGGTGGGCACTCTCGCTGTTTCCCCTCCAGCACGGTGGAGGACACAGCATCCTAGCTTTCTCTTGTATACGTCTGCAGCAGCCTGTTTCAAAATGAAGGAATTTATGGAAATAACCCGCAGGTAGACACAAGCATGTCGGATGTCTAATGCACAGAGAGGGATGAGGTTCCCTGAGCAACTGCCTGCTCATGCTTCAGTCCCCTCTGGCTCCCAAGCAGCATACAGTTTGCTCCCCAGGTTTACAGAAATCTGGACGCTATGTTTGTGGGTGAGCTCTGAAGGAGTCAGCTTGTCACAAAGCATCAGCTCTCAGACGTTAAAGGGGCTTAGAGCCCCCAGCATCCTTCTGAGCAGGGATGGGATGGACCAACAGCCTCGGTTCCTCTTCAGCTCTACATCCTGGGCATCTCCTGGGCTCTCCACACAGGTCTGCCTGGAGGAATTCCAGACACCATCAGCACTAGACAAGGGGCAGTGGAAGCTGGACATCTGCCCAGGAAGGAAGAGAACTTAGTCCTGAGAGGCCACAAGACAGCCTGCAGCTCCTTTGGACTCCAGCTTCCCGCAGGAGATCCTAGAGCGAGCCAGCCTCAGCCCCAGCACACCATGCCTCCGCACCCGCCACCTCTCGGGATTTCAAACCCGCATCGAATCAGTGGGCAGTTTTATTGCAGGCAAATAATAACAGAGCAAAAGAAAAATGGTAATTAATGCCGTTGCCAACTTCTCCTGAGAATCAGCATCAGTTAGATAAACTAAGTGGGGAGGGAGCAGGATGCCAGAGCCAGAGTTGGAATCCTGGGGACAGATCGGAGGTAAACAGTGTCTCTGCGCTGCAGGTTGTTAGTGCCAGGTTGCACCAGCTGTGCCCTTGGCGTCTCTCTTGGGACTGAGCCTGTCTGGTCCCTTTCTACTTTCCTTGTGCCCATTTTCATCTGTGGCTTGGGTCTGCTAATATTCTAGACAACTGTAGCAGCCCACTAGTTCTTCGCGGTGGCGTTTAGAAAGAGCATCCCAGAGTGACTGACAAGGCACGCAGGGGTCTGAGTCATACCACAGCAGTTTGGGAGTGGAGGAACATTTATAAGTGAAATGCCTTTTCGTTTAAAAAGGGCCATTTTTTCCACTTTTCAGTGAGATGATGTAGTGGCTGTCAGTGCTGGAACATGTGAGCAAGCTGCTGAAGAACATCCTGATGAAAAGAGCATCTTGACTGCGAGTGAGTTGTATAGCTAGGTGTGGGGGGGAGGTGACCCCAGCCAGCAGCAAGAACCTCATGGGTCGAAGTATGGACAGTTTAATAAGTGAAGCAAAGCCACAGGCACACGCAAAGCAAAAATCAGGACCTTATGGCTACTTCCCATCAGCAAACAGATGTTTAGCCGCTCCTGGAGAGCAAGGCCTGCACACATGTAAAAGTTACTTGGGAAGACAAAGGCTATAACCCCAGGAGTCCCCAATTCCCCATTTCCCCCGAGCTTTTCTTGCTGAGTACATCATATGTTAAGGAATATCCCTGTTGTCAATTCAGGCCAGCTGGCTCAGCTGCATCCCTCCCAAGTTCTTGCACACTCCCAGCCTCCTCAGTGGAGGGGCTAGCAGGCATGGATGGAAAAAGAAAGCCTCAACGCTGTGCAAGCACAGCTCAGCGATAGCCAAAACATCGGTGCGTTATCATGCTGTTTAAGTGACGGATCCAAAAACACAGCACTATACAGGCTGCTGTGAAGAAAATTAACTCCATTCCAGGCAGACCCAGCAGAGTAGGGCGAATCATGAGGCTGCCAAGTGCAATAAAGAGCCTACGCAGGATGTTGAAGCAATGGAAGGTGACGCCTCTGCACCCTTTTCCTCACAGCAGTCAGGAGCTGGGGTGGATTCCTAGGTGCCAGGCAGGAAGAACAGGACTTCAGATCCTATAACAGAGAAGTAGTTCAGCAAGAAAACGGTCTTCAAGGTAAGTCCAGTGTCCAGAGGGACAGGGACAGTGTTGGGTTTGACCCTCCTCTGTCCATCCAGTCACCTGGCCAGGACCAGAACGCTCCGAGTGCTCTAGTGGCTTCGAAAACAGGCTTATGACAGCACTGGCAAGGCGGTCCCAGAAGGCAGGTTGTAAATGCTACATGCAGAGTGAGCACCGTTCCTTTATCACTGTTTTTTGTTTTTCTTTTTTAATCACATTCAGTGGATAGGAGCAAGAACCAGAGGGAACAAAGCAGGACTGGAAGCGAGAGACAGGGCCAGCTTCAGCTGGTGGGTCCTGGTGCTGCTGCCTTGCTTCAGAGCTGATGCAGAGCTGTGACTCCGCAAACTCCACCGCCCGCTGAAACCACCCCAGCACAGCTTGCAGAGCAAAGCTGCTGATACCAGGCTGGCTTATCTACAAGCCAGCTCCCATCACCAGTCAGTAAAGTTGTCCCAGCCCTGAGAAAGTGTGCCCTCAATGAGCAGACCCCTCCAAAATTCAGCTTCATCCGATGTAACCCGTACATCAGGGCAAGAGATCACACAAGTATACTGCAGGGGCAGACAGGAG